CATCTCCTAGGAGGCCTGATTCCCTTTCCCTCCTCCCCACCAGCTACAAGTGTTTCTTCCCCCTTGAAATTATCTTGTATATATTTTGAATCTACTCATACACATTATTCCCAATAGAATATAGGTTCTGTAAGGGAGGGTACTGTTTTGTTTTTGCCTTTGGCTGAGCCTTGAAGGAAACAAGGAAACAAAGAGGCAGAGATGAGAAGGAGAGAATTCTAAGCATAGGGGGTGCAAGGAACAAGGAAGCCAATATTGACAGAATCACAGAGGATGTAGAGGGGAGACAGGTGGAGAAAGTCTAGAAAGGTAGAAAAAGTGAGGTTCTGAATGGCTTTACAAGCCAAACAGATGATTTTATATTTGATCTGGAGGTAATAGGGAGAGCTAGTTTATTGAATAGGGGACTGACATGGTCAGACCTGTGCTTTAGGAGAATCAATTGAGTGGAGATGGACTAAATAGAGAGAGACTTGAGGCAGGGACACCAACCAGTCCAGGCATAAAGTAAGGAGGGCCTGAACCAGGATGATGGTGGCAGTGTCAGAGGACAAAAGGGGAGCACATATGAGAGAGAGTACAAAAGTAGAACAGGAGTTTGCAACAATTGTATACGTAGGGATGGGTGAATGAGAAAGACTGAAAAGCCAAGGATGACATCTAGGTTATGAGCCTTGGGTACTGAGATGGTGGTTGTGCCCTGGATAGTAATAGGGATGTTAAGAAGAGGAGAGTTTTGGGAGAAAGATAATGAATTAAATTTTGGACAAGTTGAGTTGAAGATATACAGAATACCTAGTTTGGTAAGTCCTGTAGGCAGTTGGAATGTGAGGCTGAAAGTCAGGAGAGAAGTTAGAGCTGGGTAAGTAAATTTGGAAATCACCAGCATAAAGATGATAATTGAATCCATGGAAGCCAGTGAGATCACCACTTGAAATAGTAGAGAGAGAAGATGTCCTAAGATAGAGCTTATTTGTAGGTAATAGGAAAGCAGTTAGTGGAGAGGAAGAGACTGAAGATTGATGAGAAGTAGGATTAATAGAGGGGTCAGTCTGCTAGAGAAGATAGGATGGAGTGGGATCACTTGGCATATAGAACGGTTGGTGTTGGCAAGGAAAAGGGCCACCTCTTCATGTGAGATAGGAGTGAAGGGGGAAATGGGAGAAGGCATCATTAGAGTGATGTGAGATGAGAAGCTGGGTGTAAGCCATGAGAGGTTTGATGAGGGAGGAAAAGGTTTGGAATATCTCCAGCATGTTGGTTGGACCTCCTATCAATTTAACAGTCAGGATCACTGTAAAATGTGGGACATGAAGAAGTGGAGGAAATAGTGTTGGTGAGTCTATGTAGGAGTTTTTCAGTGAAAAGGAGAGAAATTTAGGACAATAGCCTGAAGGAATGTCAAGGGCAAGTGAAAAATTTTCATAGATAAGGAGAGATTACCATTTTCTTACATATATGTTCTTGAGTTAGTCATTTAACCTCCCAGGGCTTCAGTAAGTGTAAATGAGAGAGTTGAATTAAATGTCACATAAAGACCCTTCTAGCTCTAAGTTTGTAGTTCTTTGTGATCCTGTGACCTTAGTATGTTTGTAAGAAGCAGAGAAAGAACGAAATTATAGGGCAGAATTAAAGATGAGGTGCGGGTAGGTGGAGTGATCGATGGCACAAGCCCCAGAAGACATGAGAGGAGAGTGGGCCTAGGACACAAGTAGAGATGGTTAGCTTTGGCAAAGAGAACAAGCGGTCTCTTCCTCAGAGTCCACAACAAAAGAAAAGAGAATGAATGAAAATGTAGAAGAAGTAAGAGATGTAGAGTAGGATAGACGAGGGAACTCACAGTGGGTAAAGAGAAAAAGATTGTAAGTCAGGTACTCAACTCTTTTTAAGAAAACAAAATAACCTAGAAACTTATAGGTGACAGAAATCAATGATCTGGGAAGGATCATATAGACTGAGTGTACCTCAAAAGAGAGGAGAGGTTCATGAGTTGTGTCTGCAAGAAGGAGATAAGTGGCGTTGGTAAACAAGATATATGCTGCTTCGTTCTCTTGGACCAGTGTGTTGTGGCTCATAAGAGGAGTAGCTAATGATGTGAGAGTGGCCATTGATGAAGTGTCAGCCAAATAAAGCAAGGTTTCCACAGTCAAAAGAACCATGAAAGACTGTGAATTGAAGGAGATATAGGATGAAAGGGAATTTATTAACAGTGGTACCATCAGTTTCAGAGGACAGAATGGAAGTGAGGAAGCAGAGGAAGATAGAAACTGGGTTGAGATAGGGATGAGTTTGGTGAGATATAGCAGAGAAAAGTTTTTATTTTAGCAAATAATGATGAATCTCAGAATCACAGGGACTCAGAAAGTAGGAGGTGGGAATTTGTTGTCCATAGGAAAAGGATCACTTGATGATGTGATCAATTGATAAGAGTTAAAGAAGGGAGAGAGGGGAAGTTCAGTGGTAAAGTAGGTTAGGGTAAGAAGGAAGCAACCAGTCCTGTCTCAGTCACAGTCTTTGAGAGGGGCTGGAGCAGAGGACAGTAATAGCATCAAAGACTGTGTGGTAAGTTTGGCATGTCATCTGTGGCAACATGCGTCCACTTTATTGTCACAGTTCTGTCGTAGTCCTAGTGAGGGGCTGCAGCTCTGATATTGGCCAGAGTGATAACAACATCTCTTCTCTCTTATCAATAACAATCCCCATCTGCCTTCCTTTGCCACTTGCAGCGATTCTGAGAATGAAGGTTCAGATTTTCTTTCTTGATAGTAGGGAAGGGTGAGTGTGGCTTTCATCATTAGCAACTAAAAGGGCCACATGTAGAGGCATACTCCTACTGCAGTCTGTGAGTGGAGATGGGCCTTCCCACTCTCCTGGGCTGGCTGACTGCGTAAAGTGGTTTTGCCGTTGGAAAGGGACATTGTTATTAGCAGCTTACCCTTTCTTCTCAGCCACCATGGCTCTCACATGTCTGTTGCGTTCGTGGTGGCAGGGCTAAGATGTACTCCTCAGTGATCATTATCTTTCCCCATTGTTCTTTCATTTGTCTTTCTTCAGATGCTTAGTGGAGAAATTTGGGCTGAGCGATATTCATTGAAAATCACAATTATTTATTTTTACATTTTTATTATATATATTTGTACATCACCCACATTTAGCATTATTTTATTCTCCAGCTCTCTCCCTCTCAGAGGTCAATCCCTTATAACAAAAAATGAAAGAAAAGGAAAAAAAGATTTAATAAAACTAGCCGAACAACAGCAAAGTCTAATATTATATGGCTTATTCTATATCCAGAGTTTTCCAACCCTATAAATAGGGAGGGAAGGACATTCTCATATCTCTTCTTTGAGGCCAATCTTGCCGTTACAATTCCATAGCATCCATTTTCTGTTGTTATTCTTTCTGTTTACATTAATATAGTCACTGTGTGTATGTTATTTTCCTCCTTCTGCTTACTTTGCATCATACATACATGTCATCCCATGATTCTCTGTATTTATATTTGTCCTTTCTTAAGGCACAATAGTATTCCGATACATTTATGTACCACAGCTTGTTTAGCCAGTCCCCAATTGATGAGCATCTACTTAGTTTCCAGTTCTTTGCTACTTCCATTTTACTGATACAAATATTTTAGTGTGTATGTGGCCTTTATTTTTCATTGATTTCCTTGGGGATATTTGCTTTTATCATAGAGTATAAACATTTTATTCACTTTCTTAGCATAATTTCAAATTGTTTTCCAGAATGCTTGTACCAACTCACAGCTCTATCAGCTGTGCATTAGTGTGCTTATGTTTCTCTTACCACTCCAAATTTAACTCTTCCCATCTTTTTGTCATCTTTGACAGTTTTGTTGGATGTGAGGTTTTGTTTTGATTTACATTTAGTATTTTGGAGAATACTTTCATATCGTTAATTATGATTCTTTAAAAAATTGTTCTGTTAGGGCATGGCATTAGCCTTATATACTTGTATTAATTCCTTATTTGTCTTGGACATCAGACCCTTATTAGATATGTTTCATGCATGTATTTTCCCTAGTAATTCACTTGCCTTCTTGTCCTACTTATAATTTTATTCGCAAAAAATCTTTTCAATTTTGTGCAATCAAAATTATCTCCTTATGCTTATCAAACCACTATCTTACTGGGTTAAGAATTCACCTCTTAGCCATAGCTATAAAGGTACCAGATCTGTTTTTTCATAATTTTTTATGGTATTACTTTGAACCATATATTAGTTTTGAGACTATTGGGATATATGGGGTATATAAGATGTTTATAATTATTCTTTTTAGGTCAGGAAAATCTTTTTATTTATTGTAGACAGAGCTAATAGATAAGGGTATAGTTCTATCCAAGAACAAACAGTATTCTTTTTATTTATTTTTTATTCCAAAAAAAATTTTATTTTTAGGAAATTGGGATTAAGTGATTTGCCCAGGGTCACACAGCTAGTAAGTGTCAAGTGTTTGGTCTGAGGATTTGAACTCAGGTGCTCCTGACTTTCAGGGCCGGTGCTGTATGCACTGCACCACCTAGCTGTCCCAACGAACAGTATTCTTGAACCATTTAAGGAAATTGCGTGGAACTCTTGAAGTTTTCATTTGGAATTTGTCATTTTCTTTAATCCACACCCACACTGGATGTGAAGCTGCAACACTGTGCAGTGCATTTATTTAAACATAACTATAAGAAGGTAAAAATCATATTCATTGCTTTCTTATATATATATTTGGTGTGTGTGTGTATATATGTATATGTGTGTGTGTATGTGTATATATATATATATGTATATATATATATATATTTATACACATATGTCTTGTTATGGTATTCACTAATGCATAATGCTTACATATTTCTGTTGTGAGTAATAAGAAGCAGGATGATAGCCCAAGAAAACACATCCAAAAGAACATTTCATTCTGAGAGCTTTTATATCCTAATTTTAATTTCCTTTATAGGACTGTGCACTAATATTTCACTGTCTTTCAGCTTTCATGACTCTAGTTATGGTTTTGCTGCATGTCTTCTGGGGAGTTGTGTTTTTCGATGCATGTGAGACTAAAAACTGGTGGGCACTAATCGTGGTCATCGTGAGTCATCTGCTGGTGTCAGGTCTGGTGAGTCCAGTTTATGTGTTCATACTCTAGCCACTCTGTGGAACTATCTACTTCTTCATATGCCTAATGGAGGAAATGACATTTAGGAGTATGACTTTTTAAAAAATATGAGAAGACTCTGCCTTTTCATAATTTTTTTAACTCAGAAAATTATTAGAACTCATTTTATAGTTTCTTATGCTGTTCTTTTAGAATCTTTAGTTTTCTTTAAATTCCCTTCATCTGTACTTAGTTGGTTTCTCAGTTGGTTTCTCTTAGAATTAAAAGATTCTCATATATCTGTGCTTTATTCTAGAAAACTACCTTTTAAAAACACCATTCACTTCTTATGAATATTATTTTAACTTTAAATGAGAATTATTATTCATTTATTCCTGTTTAAAGAGGGAACAAAAAGTAAATTGGGACTTGAAGTAATTTTATTCTGTTTATTATTATTACTAACAACTACTAATAATAGTAATAACAAAAGACTTCTGAGAAGAAAATGGAATAACAGCCCTAAGATGTTCCATCTTTGCTCATCTACTTTCATAATAGAAACATTTGAAATATTGAGAAACAGCAACAACAGAAAACAGTAATAAACTTCAAAAACAATCAGAAAATCTTAAAAATAAACAAAAACCAACCCAGGGCCAACCACTGTTTTTAATATCAAAGGGGAAAAGCAAGTGAGCATGGGCAAGAAACCTGTTTAAGACACCCACAATTATGGAAGCAACTATTTAGCTTCCAGAAGCCCTTGGGCCACAGCATTGCCAGACTCTGCTTGTGCTTGCCTTCCCTGAGATGGCCTTATTGATGCTGGGCCCCCCCCCCAAGAGTTAATGGTACCTCCTGCCACAAGACCAGCTTGTGATGACACCTCAAAGAATAGAGACCTTGAACTTTCTAATGACCTGTTTTTATCATTGGAATTCTACCCATCTACTGATCCTTTGCTTGGACTTGTTCTTCAATGGTTAGCCTATCTCCACCTCCTTTATCCCAACTTCTAGAAAAAATAAACCTTCTTCTCAGTGGAGGCTGTTTGCTCTATCATTCTCATGTCTCAGCATTTCCTGACCTCCGAAAGTATCTTGTGCCTTCCATCTTCTGATACATCTGTCCCATGAGGGAAGAGGAAAGTTGATGGGGAGTGAGACTTCAGTGTCCTGCTGTGCAAGTTCAACTTCCATCTCCTGTTGCACTTATCTCTTGCCTAGTCTCCAGCCTTCAGAGAGAAGAGAATTGAAAAGGGGCCATTCATCTGACCATGTGCATTTTACCTTATGCTATACTTGCCTCCTATCTGATCTCCATACTTACACCTAGTCATACCCTACACATCCCAGTGATTTTGAACCCCACTTCCTGTCCCACTCTAAAATCCTAACCAGACAATACCTGCCTTTCCACTGAACAGGTTGTAATGCCTGTTCCATTGGCAACAAAATTCTCTTCATCCTAAATTTTTCCTCTCCCACTAATTCCATCTTCTAGCAATCACTGACATCTGGCTTCCCTGTGATAACACAGCCTCCCCAGCCACCCTCTCCAGTTTTTGGGTATACCTTCACTCATTTCCCCTGGCTCACTGGTTGAGGCAGGAGAGTTGGAATACTCCTTGCTCCCTATTGCCACTTCTAGGTTCTGTCCCTACCTTTATCACTCACCTCTCCTCCTTTGAAGTTCATGAAATCCGTATCTACTACCCAATCAAAATCCTGGTAGCTGTTGTCTGTAGACCTCTAAGTCACTCCCCTTCCTTCCTCAGTGAGTTCAGTGCATGACTCACAATTTTCCTCTCCTCCTCAACTCCTGCCTTCATAATAGAGGATTTCAACATATATATTGACTGTCCTTCAAACACAGTAACCGTTACCCTCTGTTCCTTAACCTATACATTTCTCATGAGCTATTCCTCCACTCCTTTGAATCTGTCAGCCTACAGTAGACAGAGCTCACTGTATTTGTTAAACCAGTTTCTTGCCTTTTCAGTTGTTTTTCTTTTTTAAATCTTAGTCTCATTGTTTACTGCTTGTTGTATATCACATAAATTAAACATTTGGTGAAATAAGCTTGAGTTATTGAATATATTCTGTGTTTACCTTCATTTGTCTTTGATCTTTTTAGATGTCTGTTATAAAATCTTATATCACCCCAGCTAATTTACTTTTCTTTCCCTACAGACCTTCCTGAATCCCTATTATAAAGCAAGTTTAGTAGCATCATATGTTATTATGCTGCTCATGGGTATCTGGGCATTCTTCACTGCTGGTGGCTCTTGTAGAAATTTGAAACGATGCCTGTTGTGCCGAGACAAGGACTTCCTTCTTTCCAACCAGCGTGCCAGATAACATCTGAGAATTGGGACCTCCCTGAACAGCTTTCTGTGTTTTTAGAGGAAGCACAACTGTGCCTTTTTCTAAAATTTTATTTTTGGTTGAATTTAGAAGGAAAAAAATACTAGTTACGTGACTCTCATCTAATAAGGCTTCTATCCAGCAGCTGTCTGAAATGCATACATGAATGATAACTCCCTGGGGCAAGTGCAAGAATATATGAAAGGAATGTGTAGCTGTGTCTTTCTACATTCAGTGTGGTTAAATTAATACATCAAGGACATAGTGCTTGCTGAACCTACATCTTTAAGTAATGGATCAAGTCAAAGGGCCATAATTTCTGTGATCCTTTTTGTGTATGTTATCAAAGCACATCCCTTTTAGGGTTAGATTAATTAAAGTAGTTAGGGGCTTATGAGACAGATAGGCTCTGACTCTAAATACTCTTTACTCAAAATCAGGTATTTATTAATAGCTGTATTTTTGAAGATTTTTTTTTACCATCCAGAATTGACTTTGGGTATTTAAAAATTATTTTTGAAGTGTAGGGAAGTAACCTATATTTGTAATTAGAACACCAATCCTTTTTTTTTAATTTCATAATTTACTTTCCCCAATTACATGTAAAAATTTTTAACATTTGTTTTTTAAAATTTTGAGTTAAAATTCTCTCCCTTCCACCCTTCCCTTCCCCAAATTGAGAAGGCAAGCAATTTGATATACGCTATATATGTATAGTCATGCAAAACATATTTCCACATTAGTTCTGTTATGTAAGAAAACAGATACCACAGGAAAAACAAGAGAAATAAAGTTACCAAAAAAGTATGTTTTATATGCAGTCAGGCTCCATTAGTTCTTTCTCTGGAGATGGATAGTTGTCATTCACAGTTGATCATCATACAATATAGGTGTTACCATATACAATGTAGAACAAAAATCTTTAAGGATATTAGCAATTTTACCATAGATCTACTACATAAAGCATGCTCAACCTAGCCCAGATAGGTTTAGAAATTAACAAAGGTGACCTTCTCTGTAACCAGAGTCTATCCTAACGGTTATAGATGCCTAGGAAGGTATTTTAAATTGGGGGATTTTTTTGTTTCATCAACATTTTTTAGGCTTTTTTTCATTTTGAGGTTCTTCCTGGGTTCTTCTTGTGGCTTTCAGCTTAAATTGTTGAACTTTGTGCTCACTTTATATGGCAGCACTGTCTTTTATCTCTGAATGTCCTTTTTAAGTAATCAGATGGTGTGTACTTGAATAAAACTTAACGAAGTAGATAAAAGGTTAAAAGAGAACATTAGAAATGCAGACCAATAAAGTATTGACTTTTACTTTGTTCACATGATATTAAATGGTGAATGGTATTTTCTTCCCCAAAATAGCATAGTCATGGAGTAATGTAAAATTGAAATATATCTGAAATTAACATATTTCTACTTTGTGTGATATGTATATTTTTCAAAACATGATTTTCTTTTTGTTTTGAGTAGCAACTGCAACATTCCCAATTTTAATTCAACTTTTAAACCTTCTTTTATTTTCATTTTTCAGAAAAAAACCCAGCAATGCATGCTGGTATTAACTAGCAATTGTTTTAGGGAAGATGGTAATATGGAATGGAAATGATATGCACATTAAGGTGATAAATCAACAAATCCTTTGGGCTCACTAGAACTTGTAGCCAAAGGAGAAAGGAGAAATACTTAGAAGTACTGAATACTAACATGAAAGACTGATTATTCTAGCTAAACTTTAGGGAACTGGTATGTCAGTGAAGACTTTTAAAAGGATTGTAACCAGTGTCTTGAGCTAGTTACAAAGGAAATTCCAGAGTTAAACCTTGTATGTGAACTTGACATTTTTTATAAATTAAATTTTGCCCAAGATGTCTAAATTGCACATTTCACTTTGTTGAATGAAGAGGGGACTGAATTCCTAATATGCCTCAGACAGACATGCAAGGAGCCATAGCCATTTTCCTTTAGAATTATCTATTTTCCTTTACTTTAGTTCAACCCTGGTTTTTACTTGGGGTAAAGAGTAGTACAGCTTGAGTTTCTCATTTTCTTGCCTTTAAAAATTCTCAGACTAGGAGAGTTCAAGACAGAATCTGTATCTGTGGAAATGAAATCTTTGCATCGACCAGGAGTATGAGAAATACCCTAGAGATACCACTCTAGTGATACATAAAGAAGTCTAGGATATTTTTTAAATCCCCATTGCAAGAACTATACCATGATTCAGAAGAAAATTATCCTTTAATTTGAGACTGTTGATTTCGTTTAGAAAATTTCTCATTATCTGGTGATCCTAGAATAGCTGTTAGTAAAGGGTCCTTCCAAGTTCTTTTTCCTTTTCAGTTTTGCCATGATAAGCTGAAGAGTTGGGATCTGTTATTTGATTGTTTTAAATAATGCTGCTTAGCCTGATTCTAAGGAATACACAAAGGGAAGATTATATTCTTCTTTTGTGCTGTGTATATATTAAGATGCTTTTTGCCTTTGTTATTTATAAAAAGCCTTATTAGCCCTCAACGAGCTTGAGGGAGGAGATGGTGCTTATGGGGATTTTGTTCCCCAAGCAGGATCTTTGCAGCATGTAAAGAAATGTGGTTAACATAACCTTGAAATTGTGAGCACTGTGTTGCGTGCTTGGATGTATTGGCATGTAAGTGATAGAAATTAGATCATCTATTTTAAAAAGCTATATTTATCTTTAATACCTTTGAAATTGTAGCATGTTTTAAATGGGGAGATTGTGACGACCATTTGTGGTCCTGGTGATGGAAATATAGTGAATGTCTTTTTGGGTAACTGAAAATTATAATTTTGCCAAAAGAAATAAATTGCAAAATCTATAAATTGTATAGGAAATGGCTTTTTGTATTTTTCAAGTAAATGTTAAATCCTTACTGAGTGGCCAGTCCATATTCTAAAATCCTTTTTAGGTCTTCTTAACTATCAAGTAAGTGATAAGCATAAGCAGGCATTACCAGAATAAGCTTCCCTCTTCCCACTGCCCTTCCACTGTGCCGGAGCCTTACTTGGAGGTCCTAAGTCAAAGGCTAAGAAATTTTTTCATCCTAAGCAAATTCATCATTATCCTTACTGAATATGCCAATATGAGTGCCAGTTTTTAGGATACAATAGTAGTCTCTGCCCTCTGGGGAGAACTACCACATACTTCAGTCTTGCTAGTTGATATTCCCTGTAGTTAGGTAATATCCAAGAGATAATCATTTTTTCTCACTATTGCCGCCACAACTTTTTTTTTGTTTACTCTTTCCCTTCCTAACCTAAGTTAGGATATGTGTCACAATTGCTTTTCTTCTCAGTTTTAGTGCTGTGTTTTCCTCATAACTGCTGCTTCTGTATTTCCTATTTAATGAGATACTCTACTCCATTTTATTCATAATTAAAAGACAGAAATGATCTTTTAAATTTTAGGCTTTTAGAACAAATTATGTTGTCTTGGTGTAAAAAATATGCAAATTTCTATGTAAGTTGTACTGTTATTTAATATTTAATTGCAATATCAGATCTTGGTTTCAATATGTAAATGTAGCAACATCTTTCAAGCATTAATATTTATCAGTGAAAATTAAAAAGAAGATTGAGTTTGACACTTTCAGTTTTTTTTTTCCAGCATCTTCTGTCTCTGGATCTAGTGTCTCTGAAAGTGTTTCCTTCCTCATGTCACATTTTTTAGCCTTATGAACTTTGACTTTGCATTCAGTAGGATCTCTCTGACATCTCAGGTCCTGTTTCTTACTGTTGCTGTGTCCAGAGTCTGGTGCAAACGGACAATGAGTTGTGCTCAGAATTAAACAGGAGAAGAGTAGGTTGGATTACCTTTAAGTAGCAGAAGGCAGTGGACAAGCATGTAGGGAATGGGGTGCAGGCTGCAACACGTCTGAACTATGTGTGAGGAAAGGGAAGAGAAATCTATTGAAAAAGGTGGGTTGGCTCCACAGCAAGATAGGGGGATAACAATTCATGGAAAACACTTTGGCAACAAAATTGTGACTTAAAGGAGGTTAAAGGTATGGGGAGACAACCATCACTACGTGACCTTGAACAGCTTGTTTCATCTCTTAAAGTAGGGTGAAACCATCGTACTGTTAAATGACATTTTGAAAAATTCTGATATGAAGGTGGTGGCTGTGGTGAGGGTCTGCATGCCAAAACAATTATCTGGTAGATTTCAATAGTAAATTCCTTAGATGGGACCGTTGCATTTTGCCTTTGTATCTCCAGCACCTCTTACAGTGCCAGGCTTATATAGTAGTAAGCACTTAAATGCTTTTAGATTGAATCAAAGTAGATTTTTTAAAAAAATCCTGGAATATTAAAAATTCTAAAATACTTAAAGTTTAAAAACACTTTGCTCCTAAGCACCCCACGAGATAACCAAGGCAAATATTACATGACAGGCTCAGTTAGAATAAGCCAGTGATTGTGTAGATAAGTGTTGGCGATAGGCTTTAAGCTGAGATCTCCTGAATCTAGGTCCAGTGTTCTTTCTGCTGTAACATTTTGCCTTTAACAAAGCCATACACATTTGTGGCCAAGAGTTTAATTTAAGCATTAACTTACTGCAGCCATTCTCTCATTCACCTTTGTCCCATCTAGTCACTTTCTGAATCAAAATGTTAGCTGGAAAGGCCCCTAAACGTTGTCTAGTCTAATTCTCTCATTTTATATATGAGAAAATTGAAGCCCACACAGTATGAGTGACTTCCCCAAGGTCCCACAATTAGGTTTCTCTCAGGAAAATTTTTTTTTAAAATTGAGAATCTTCCTTGGTATGTATTTTTTAAATTGTCAAGGCTTTAAAAATGTAAATGCCTTCCCCTTAGCATATGGAATAACCCTGTTTTAGGTTTCCATTTACTATATTTAATGAAATATTCTCTGGAGTTAACTGCTCAAATGCTACCAACTGTTAGGCAAAGGACCCAGTCTTTTGCTAGCAGCCCCAGTGTGTTATGCTTTCACTGAATATGTGCTTTTGCATTGACCCTTCTGATTTGTTTTAGATTTTGCAGAGGGCCTGTGCCAGTTACCAACCCCAAACGTTTGACAAACTTGTGTTATGTGTTAGCTCCATACAACAATATCGTCATGGGAATATGTGATACTAGATCTGCCCTTTTCTCCCACCAGCTTCAGTGTTGCAGCAGGAGTTTCAGACATCGCCAGGCAAACAGTAGCTTATGATTTTTTAGCCAGCATGTTGAACACCACAGTTTTACTTACAAGTGATAGCCACCTTTTCTAGTGACTGGTAAGAAGCCTGAATACTTCAGTGTCAGATAAAATGAAGTAAATTTAGTTTATCAAGTATTCACATGAGCCATTGCTTTGTGGAGTAGAGTTAGATTCCCATCAGCGTGAATGATCCCTTCTGAAGTGGCTGAATCATTTGAATTTGCACAGCATATTTCCACTGGGTTGGAAACAACCACCGTATTTTACATATTTGTAATTTTGAATTGTGCAAATCCAAAAATATGGGAACCCTTCAGGGGATTCATTATTCAAAGTAATTGGGACTTATGTGTATACTGTACTGAAGCCATTGTTGAAGGAAACATAGGAGAGAGTTTAATAGAAGACATAGTTCATGCACTCAGGAATACTAT